TTCATAATTACAAAAATCAAGAAAAATATTGCGTATGGGTTAAAGTGAGAACAATTTAGGAAAGTGGAGAAAATTTATAAATTTAAAAATGACTAAAATGAAAAAAAAAAAAATATATAATTTATGGCAAAACTGTAAATTTTGAAAGTCCTTGACACATCAACGACTGAGGTGTCCCAAGGGATAGGCCGCACGGCAAGCCACATCAAAATACGTTGGACTTTAAATGAATTGGCCTGATGCGTGGTAGATCGTATGGGTGAGAGAGACACAGAAAGATTTAACGGCCCAGATCTAATCTCATACATTTGACGGCCCCCGTTAGATCATGTCCAATATAAACGAGGACCTCATTTCACATTTAAAAAACACATTAAACGAAAGAAGCTATCGGCTAAGAAAGAGAGAGGAAGGGGGAGAACTAAGAGGCCAAAAACGAGAGAGAGGAAGTGCATGAATGGCAGAGGGACGGAGATCATAAATTTCTTCGATATTTACGAGCACTGTCATGACCCGAAGTAGGTTTTTAGTGAGTGCCATTTCCTCTAAATCTAAACTCGAACCCTGAACACTCTTTGTTTTTATTTCCTTCATTAAATTACGTAATGGCATGGATGTATATGTGTGAATGTGCAGGTCATGTGGAAGGAGAACTTTAGCGCTGCCATAAAACGAATCGCAACGTTAGAGATCCATAGGAAGAAAGGAGTAAGATTTACTCTCTAATTATCATATCTACAATTTAGTTCAGTTAACTAAGTTTAAATTACTTGCTTGATGTTTAATGTAGAAATTTATAGATATATTAATATGTATTTTCATTGATAAATTAAACATGAATTTAAATTGTTAAGGTAAATAACATTGTGATATGTAATATTCATATTTTGGATGATGGAAAGGTGTCATCACTAGATGATTTAGGATTTAGAGATTGGTTAAGATTTTAGGGAATTAAAATTCTTAATGGATCGGACCTAAATTTTTAATGGGTCAATGAAAGATTGCGTGTATTAATAAATTAATATAAGAGAGTTAAAATGGGCCAAGCTAAAAATGTTCATGGAATAATGGAGATGTTGGGTCACCGTATAGAGTCCCAAGGAAGAGAAGATAAATTAATTAAGCTAAGAATGTAATAGTGGGCTAAGAAAAGAAAATCTCAAATGGGCTAAATAGGGTTGTTGGTCTACTATCTCAAATGAGAGAAGAATTGTATAAGTAATTAATTAGTTAAAGAAATGTTGTAATGGGCCAAATACAACATTTCAAGAATCCAAAAAACAACCATACTAAACAATGCAAGGAAATAGCATGTAGCCCAATACGATAAGTAAATTACTGTTAAAAAACAAATATGATCCATTTGAAATAAATTTGACAATAAAAAGGCATATCTTAAAGTAAATAAGTGAAAAGAAATCTCAATTAAATGA